TTTTTTTTTTTTTTTTTTTTTTTTTTTTTTTTTTTTTTTTTTTTTTTTTTTTTTTTTTTTATCTATGAAAAAAATTAACAACATTTTGAAACTACTTTAAAATAAACTAAAAATGTAAAAAAAAATATTAGTTGGTCAAATTTTATGCACTTTGTCAAACTTTATCGTCTAAAAAATGATCAGCATTTAATCCATACAAAGCTCTATCATCTAAAAAATTACAAGTTAATTTAGAAACGCAAAAAAATCTCAAGCGTTAAGCGCGATGGCTCAGCGTAAATAATTATGCTTGTTTTTCGATCAGCGTGTCCATAGGACTTAAGCCTTTTGGTCACTGAAGTACTATATGACCAATGAATGGAAAAAAGCTTAAAAATACAGTGCATCGGGGTAGTTTATTTATCAAAAATCTTTTACATTTAGACCCTTGATTATCTGAATTCAAAACATAACTATTCTTATGCCCTCTAACGCTATAACCACAAAGAGTTCAAGTAGGCGAAAAGGTCCAACATAATGGGAGTAATTGAGTGGCAGAAGCCCCAATTTTTATTTTTGTTTCCTTTTTCTTTTTTTTTATCTATGGAAAAAAATCCAGCGTATAGCAAAAAAGTTGACATATGTCAAGTTCGACCAAAGAGTTCAAGTAGGCGAAAAGGTCCAACATAATGGGAGTAATTGAGTGGCAGAAGCCCCAATTTTTATTTTTGTTTTTTTTTTCTTTTTTTTTATCTATTATCTGTGAAATAAACGAGCATGTATAACCAGAGGGGAGGAGGAAAATTAATTGGCACACCGAGTGCCGAGCCAAGTAAAAGTCGTAAACACGTGAGTGGGAGGCTGTTGAAGCTGTGGCGGCTTTGCGGGGCGGCTCATTACATAATATATGTATATACTCACTCGCTGTGTCGTTGTACTTACCTGAGAGAACAAAAAAACTGGGCTATCCTCCAGTAGTCCACGCTTAATTTTTTTTTTTTTTTTTTTTTTTTTCTAATTTACAGATGATTACGTTTTAATTATTAGATTTCATTGCATTCCAGTAACCCGTGGGTTTTTATCCTCACTTCTTTTTTATATGACAATCGAATGTACTCATTTTTTATTTTAAACCTACGTATGTTTTTCCAAAACGTTTAATGATAAAATCAACACTGCAACAAAAGTATTCTTTTCGTGGTCCTTACCGATTTCCATACACATTCGTTACCCTGGATGTAACCATCGTCACGGAAAACAATACTTATTCAATGGTCCCCAATCGTATTAAATTTGCATAAGCAGGTGCGTTAACAAGTGGTAATACCTATACCAAGTTCCCAGCTATACTTATGTAAACACACCTGCACGCGATTTTGAATTGTGGTCTATGCTATATAGCAGTTTGGGTTGATTCAAAATGCAATAAAAATCACACCCTCCGTATAGTACTCCTTTCAGTGATTTGTGAACACATATTGTACATGATGGTA